AACATATTAATTCGTATATATTTGAAAATATAAATATATTTGTACTCATAATCACCAACTTGTTTTTGTTGTTAAATCATCAAATAAATTGTTTAAAAATGATTTATGAATGTTAGAAAACATTTCTATATAGTTAAAAAGAAGTTTGGCAACTTAAAATGATATTTTGAAAGTTCGTACCAATGAAGAAGACGAAGTAGTGTACAAACTAGTCCGCTGTAAAAGAAACGATCGACGCCAAGCAGGAACGGTGGACCGTCGCATGTGCATTAGCTCAATTCCAGTGTCACGGTGGTGATAACAGTCCACCGTCGCCTGATAACAATCAACCAAATTTGGGAGATGCAATTGAAAGGGGTGGATGGTTGATTCGGGTCTAGTTGGGGTGGGGGTTTACCAGGGATATCGGTGGGGTATAAACTACCAAATTTTTGAACGGGGCTCTATACGGGCACCAATTGAAGCCCGAGTCATAGCGTGACATTGGTTGGGATACAATGTCATATGAACCCCTCTGTTTTAACTTTATGACCCCTCCTTCCCAAATTAAAGGAATTAAATGACATATTTACTATTTACATCATCAAATTACATTGATTTCCTTTATTTAATTTCGCTACAAATTTATTAAAATAATATAATGTAATCTCTTTTTTTTTGAGGGAATATTGCAATCTCTTTTTTCATAGAAACTTTTAATTTAGTTTTTAAATGTGTATATTTTTTTTCTAATTCTACTTTCGTTCAGAAATAAATTAAATTGAAAATAATTTCAACCAAACATTATAAACCGAAATAATCTTAATTTGAGATGAACAGGGAGAAAACTTGAATACATTTTAAATAAGAATTCTTGATGATAATATTGCGGTCATCGCAAATTAATCTTTACTTAAAATGGATATTAGTAAAGATAAAAATGTGATCGAATTTTGAGGACATGAGAGAAAAATTCTTTGAACCACATAATTTTGTTAAAGCCCTTTATGAGACACAAAAGGTAGAACCTTTTGAGGAAATACAGTACTCCTACCCTCCAAAAAAAATCTCAGTTAGGTTTGAGTTTTTTATTAAACTTTTTAAACATTAACCGTGAATTACAGAAACAAATATACTCCATCCATCCTAAAACGTCCTTCCTCTTCCTCTTTCTATTTACGAGTTTTGTTCAACTTTATTTTCAATTTAATTTATTTGATTGTAGGTGTAAAATTAAATAATAAAATTTAAATATTTAAAAATCACATTAAAAGTTCTACAAAACAAAAGGTGGTAAGACTATATTATTTTATCAAATAATTAACGAAAATAGGTAAAGAAAGTGTTTAAAGTTTGAACGTGTAAATAGTAACACGGAAGAATGTTTTAGGACGGAGGGAGTATTAAATTATCATATAAACATAATACCAATAGACTAATTTTGAAACACATTTTTAAATGTTATGGAGTATAATTTTATAATATATATATCTATATATTAATAGAGAAATAAAATGATCAAAATATTACTCCCTCCATCCAAAAATTATATTTTCATTCACTTTTGGCGGGGTTAAACTTTTTTCACTTTGTTGGCCTATTTTCGTTTCCCATTTGACAAAATAATATAGTCGTCTCACCTCAGTTTTGTAGAACTTTTGATGTAATTTTTAAATATGTAATTTTTATTTTTAAATTCAACTCTATTTTTCATATAAAATTATTTTAAAATAACTTCAATAAAACATCGTAATGTTTAACGGGAAGATAATTTTTAGATAAAGAGAGTATATTGAAAACCGTGAAAAATTAAATAGTATTATATTCCATTTGGATACAATTTGGTAAAAATTGAGTAAAATTGGGTGAAAATAAGTGAATTTTATTCAATTGAGTGCAAAATTTACAAATTATTGAGTGTATTTGGTTGAAAATAGATAAAATTAAATTTAATAGAGTCAAATATAATTTATTTTACACCTAAATGTAATGGCGTAGATCAAATTTGAAAATGATATCACTAAATGTTGCCGCTAGAAAGTCTTTTCAAAATGCTAACACTGGCATCTAATTTTATTAACTAATATTGAGTGAATTGATTTTAAATTAATCAAATGAACACTCAAATCAATAAAGTTTATTGTAATGGAAGGAAATTAGGATAAAATATAATTATTCTATACAATTTATCATATAATTCTTTCGTCCCAAAAAGAATATTGCACTTCACTATTTAAAAATTACGTAAATTTTATTTGTTTGTGCGTTATCATTTATATGTAATTAGTATATTTTTTCAAGAAGATAATCCATTTTATGAGGGAATGAGCAACTAATGTAATTAGTTCAAATGATAAAATAAAAGAAAAAATTTAAAAAAATAATATGCTTATTGAAAGGCAAACATAGTTCTGAATTTATCGATTTTAGTTCTAATCGGGTTTGGATCTAATCGGTTTCGGGTTTTATCGATTTCCTAATCAGTTTCGGATCTAATCGGTTTCGGGTTTAATCGGTTCGGATATAATCAGTTTCGGATCTAATCAGTTTCGGATTTAAATCGGATATGAATTATTTAGATCGGTTTCGGTTCGATTCAGATCATTTCGGGTTTTCGGTTATAGATCGGATCTTCATTTTTCGGATCATTTCGGTTTCAGTTTTGGATATTTTGGTTTGGGTAATCGGTTCCGATTCTGTTTTGCCAGGTCTAACAGAGAGAGTGTTAACAATCCTTTGAAACAATTGCTTCAAGAAACGAAAGTTTTTTAAAATTGATGTTAATTAAATCATACTTACGTTCAAGAATGTCACAAGAAAGACTAACGAAATGGCAATTAATAAATAAAATTTGTCATCAAAAGTGAGTCCAAATAATTAAAATAAGATGTCGCATCACAAAAAGAAAACTAGAATAGTTACTTTCATAGGGAGTAATAAAATTATACTTGGTATTATTAGAACTTGTTCTTTAGAATTGGAAAAAAGAACTAGATATTAGAATAAACTGTAAGAAACTATGAACTGGATGAATATGAAGGAATTGAAAAAAACTGAAAGAAAAATGGAAAAACTACTAGAAACTGAAAAAAATTAAATGAAACTGAAAAAAATAAAAAAATTGAAAAACCTAAAAAAACTTTAAAAAATAAAAAAGATTTTTACATTATTCTCATTCTAATTCTTGTTATTATAATTATTACTATTATTATTACTATTATTATTATTATTCTTATAATAATAATAATAATTATTATTATTATTATTATCACAGTATTTTAATGAATATCTTTAAGATAAAAAAATATTACGGAGTATTATTTTTCATACACAAAAAAACTACTTTTTTAAAAAAGTATTAATTAAAATATAAAATTAACATAAATATCAAATTGTTTAATTTTACAAAGTTATTGTTGTTCGTTACACCTCAATTTATTTATGCAATATTAATTACTCCCTCTGTCCCAAAGTATTTGTCCACTTTCATTTTTACACACCATCCAATACACTTCTTTAATCCATTTTATCTTGTAATTTGTATATTAAAAAATTATAGAAATTATATATTAATAATCTATATGTTAAGACAAATCAAACAAGATCACACATGACTAAATTTAAGCTTACACATTGAGAGAATTTGATGAGTCAAAGTGCTTAGATGAACAGTTCCAAAAGTAAAAAGTGGACGAATATAGCGGGACGAAGGTAGTATATAATAATATATTTGTAATTATTCAGAGTACTTTATATATTACGGAGTACAAGATTTTATTTTAAATATCAAACATGTCACGTAATGCAATCAAACCTATTTTTTCGTTCATGATTAGCATTTTATTTTATTGTAACTCTTATTTTTTGAATAAAAACTCAAAACTCTTACTTCCTCCGTCCGGTATTAAAGTTTACGTTTTGACTTATTGTCATTTTTAGTGGGAGTTGACTAAGGACTTAGAATACCAAAAATACCCCTTTCTCCCCTTTTGCCTTTCCACCTGAACACGGAAAACAGCCCAACTCAAAATCGGAAAACAGCTCAAAATTGGCTTTTACCCTTTCCTCCAAACCTGACGGCTCAAAATCTGAATCTATTTGGTTACCGGAATCAGCCGATTTGGTTACCAGAATCGCCAGATCACCGCCGCGACCCGGGCCAGCGGTTTCCGGCGGGTTTTCCTCAATTCCGGCCACCTCCGCCACCTCTGACGTCGCGCAACCCCACCAGGCACCTCCCACAGTCCATCCAACCACAGAGGAACCATTAATTCCAAAGTTGAAGCCAATTTGAAGAAACCCCCAATTTCGGATCCTAGGGTTTTCCCGATCCTAAAATCTTCAATTAGTGAAGTTCAAGGCAAAATTAGAAAAAAAGGACTGGATATTCGTGATCCTCGGGCAAAAATGGTTCATTTGGCGTTGGTCCCGTCCGTTTCTGCTCAGGAGAAAGAA